TATTAAATGGGAAAGAATTTTTATTGTTCAAAAAACACAACCAAATGTATTCTTTTGATTTTTAAATGTACAGTATTGTTGACTATAGGCACACTGTTGAACGGTAGATCCATAAAGGTTTTCTGTTGTGTGAAACTACACACCAGTTGAACAACAAATGTTTGCTCCCACCCAACCCCAGCAGCAACTATTAGTCTATCACTTCTGAATTTGATAATTTCATGCAGTAGATGTCATTTTGTGACTGTTATCTCATTGAGTACAATGTCCTAATTTAGCAAAATGACTTGCTGTCTAGACTGAATTCCCTTCTTTTTTCAAGATGAGTAATATTCCACTAGATGTCTATACTCCATTTTCCATTTATCTGTCAATAACATTTTGGCCACTTCTTCCTTTTGGCTGTTGTGAATATGGGTGTGAAAATGTCTTTTTGGGATATTATTTTTTTAGTAACTAGAAGTGGCATTGCTATGTCATGTAGTAGTTCCATTTTTAGTGCTTTGAGAAATATCTATACTGTTTTCTGTAGCAGCTGTGTCACTTTACAATCCCTACAACAGTGTACAAGGGCCCCAATTTCACCACATCCTCTCTAACCTTTATTCTCAGTCTGTTTAATGAGTACCCTAAAATGGTGTGAAGTGTGAGGTGATATCTCATAGTGATTTTGATTTGTGTTTCCCAAAGACTTGTCACATTACATATATTTTCTTATGGCTGTTGACCGTTTGTACGTATCCTTTAGGGAAGTATCTACTCACATTTCCGCCCACTTTAGCATCAGATTATTTGGGTTTTTTGTTATGAATTATATGACTTTATATTTTCTAGATAACTGCCCCTTGTCTGAGAAATAGTTTGAAAATATTTTCTCCATTCTACAGGTTGCATTTCACTCCTTGGTGGTGCCCTTTGTTGTACAAATGCTTTCAAATTTGATGTAATCCCATTTGTCTCTGCTTTTGGTTGAGATACTTGTGATATAATTTCAGTGTCATGAAGGTTTCCCCCTTTGACTTTTCTTAGGCATTGGAAAGTTTTAAGTAGATTTTATTGATTTATAGGTTTAAAATCCATTTTGAATTAATTTTTGTAATATTGAGTATAATAGACTTTATTATTTACATTTTAAGTTTTTTTACAGCGTTCTCTGTTCCTCTTTATGTAATGGTTGTGTTTTACCTTTTCATGTTCTATTTAACTCCTTGAGTTTCAAGTCCTCTTCTCTGTTTTCTCAGAAGTCTTGTGGTATAGTCATCTGTATACTTCTTAAATTTCTAACATTTTTACTAAGTGTATTAATGTTTAATTTTGTTTGGTTTTGGTTTTAGATTTTTGGTATTTGTTTGTTTATTTTTTGGTACTGGTGATTTAACTCAGGTCCTTGCACTTGCAAGGCAGGCTGTGGCACCACTGAGCTAAATCCCTGGCTTAATTTTAATTTTAATGATATTAAAGTGCTAAAAGCTACATACAGATTTTAATGATAGTATCTACTTTCCACTTGTCAGTGTCAATATTTATAGCCAGGCATGGTGGCACATGCCTATAACCCCATCATGTGAGAGGCCGAGGTACGAAGATTGCCCTGAGTACAAGGCCAGCCTAGATTACATAGTGAGTTCCAGGCCAGCCTGAACTGCATAGCATGACCCTGTTTCAAAACAAAGTCTATATTTATGAAATAATGCAAGTTATCCATATGATTATGAGATGATTTAGTGCTGTTGGCCAAAGTGGTCAAATGAAAACCATTCTCAGCAGAACCTTAAGAAATTTTATGGCACATCTAAAGTGTAGATCATAAAATTTCTGTGATACTGCTTTCAAATAATGTTTATAATAAAATTATAAAACATTTTATAATAAAATAGAATACATGGAAGCACTTAGAGACATGAATACTTGAGTATGAGTAAAGCAACTTAAAAATGTGCAAGCAGGACCGTTTCTGTCTTGTGCAGTTCTCTGTTCAGTGTGTGGCAAGGTGCACTGTGCATAGCTACTCATTTTGAAGAATATTGCCTTTGCTTCGGAACAAAAAATTTCTAATGGCATAATGTTTAAAATAATACTATTTTTAAATCACTATTCTAATCTTAAGAAAAATTCATATACACTGAAGGTGTGTGGGGGGTGTGGTGCATGTCTGTATATTTTAATGTGGAGTGTTTGTACAAAGTGTTTTACAAATCTTACCAGAAGACTTAAAAGTTCTTTCTGTCCTGAACTTCATTGATGACTTATTCAGTCAGGTTTGAGAAGATATTCTGACTCCTCTTTTTCTTTGAAGTTGTCTCAGCCCCTGCACCTTAATCTTTTCATCATCCCAAGAATTTATCTATTCTATAATTCCAAATGTTTCTCTATTTCCCAGACCTTCAGTTTCATATCAATCAGACTAACAAAAATGGAAACTGCGAGAGTCACTACATCTAAAAATAAGGCCCTGACATTCTACTCTACAATAAGCACAAACTAATGCAACCAAATAAAGAGTTAAAAGTGAAAACTGCATACCAGTCCTTAGCAAATGGTATGGTTCTTCTAATTTCTGTGCTCATCATCATTTAGGCTGGAATAAGAGGAAATGTGTCACAGGAGGATGGGGGATACCTTGGGCCAATGACATGGCAGAAGGCAGAGCACTGTCAGGTGGCTAACTTATCTGCCTAGTCCTTGCTCTGGGGTCCTTATTCCAGAGACTTTCTCCACCTCTTATGGTAGACTAACCATGGCATCCTGTTTCCTGCACTCACATGTCATTACAAGCATCACACATAGCTTACTGGCTTAACACCTTAAAGTCAACTTCGTAGGACAGTAAGTTCCACAGAGCCACAGGCTTTGCCTATCTGGCCCTTAGCATTCAGTGTCTATTGTTTAATTAATTAAAATGCTAACTACCTGGCTATTCATATTATTGTAACTGCACCCTGGTATCTTAACACCTTAAAGTCAACTTCGTAGGACAGTAAGTTCCACAGAGCCACAGGCTTTGCCTATCTGGCCCTTAGCATTCAGTGTCTATTGTTTAATTAATTAAAATGCTAACTACCTGGCTATTCATATTATTGTAACTGATCACCCTGGTATAATGCTTAGCTACATAATTTGAGTAGTGGAACCAGAAAAGTCTACATTTTCAAAATCATCTTTTCTACTTCCTTCCAATAAAGCTCTGCCTCTGCAAGGGATCATGTGATTAAATGAAATTTCAAATTAAAGGACATCTTTCGTCTCAAATGGTTTCGTATGAACAAGTCCATCCGGTGTAATCTCTTCTGGAAGTTAGCTAATGAAGAAGGTATAAGGAGGATCAGAGTAGCAGGGGAGGGAGAAGGGAAAGAGGGAGCAAACAGCAGGCTTACTAGGTATATGAAACACAGAAAAGTAAAAAGGGGTAGTTTTTCAGGACAAAATGTGCCCTGAGATTAAATTGTCTTGTATCCTACAGTTTATGTGCATCACTTCATGTAGGCAGCAACTTTTGCTCATTTCTCTCCCATGTTTTCCTAACACTACTCAGAAATTTTACTTTGTGTACCAAAATGGTAAGAAAAGCAATTTTAGGAGAATCGCCTCTTTAAAAATTGGCATGTGATACATTTACCTGGAAACTACGCTAGTAACAAACCCCAGTTGTCTATTTCTGTTTTCATAAAGCACTGTTAGCTGAAAGCAAATATAGCTATTTTTAACTTAGAAAAACAAACTGCCCTCTTTCAAATATTCAAGTACATAACAAAATATAAAAAGTGACCACACTTGGCACAGGAATCATTTTGTCTTGATTTGGAATTGAATACATATTGAATGGCATTTTAAAATGTGTGCTATTAGTCATATTCCACTGAAGAGCTGTTCCATTTCTTCACTGGAGAATTATTATTTGCTAACAAGAGTGACATTAAAAAGAGAAGTATATATTATTAGACTTGTTTCATATTTTATTTTTTTACCCAGATGTATTCTCCTGGCTTTAAGAGTTTCTTAAGTCCAAAATATACTCTGTAGATTTTTCAAGTTTGTAAAAGCATAAGACATCATTAAATGTCATGAAATTATTACAGAAAATTGCTGTTAAAATTTAAAGTCTACATGTCTACAGAGAGAAACAGATGTAAATGAGAAAAACCCATCCTAATAGAGTGCAGTCATGGGTTAAGGGTATGCAAAAAGTTAATTTTTATTTTTTCAAACCACGTCTGACAAATTTTGCCTGTTTATGACATGCAGCTATTAGTGTGTAGCTTTTGAGAAATATCTAAATTTTAGACAGTTTTGTCATTTGTAGAAGTCAATAATAGCTCTGTGCAAACTACAGCTCTTCCACGTCTGTGTAACCCTTCCATGTACTCATTGCCAATACTGTCTCAGCTGGGCAGGAGGGAGGCAGTTACTGCATGATTGCAAAGAATAAAGTGCTGACCTGGTGCACTTTGAAGGTGCTAAACGAGAGGGTAGAGCAGGAGAGAGAACATGGAACTAGGAATCAGAAGGCTGCCTCATTCTGAGTTCTCATCTGTCAAACAGTTCCATCAGAGAGTATCTGTAGCTGCTCGTCCAAGCTTGTTGATTTGTTTTCATTGTCAATATTAAAAGATTGTCTACTACATTTATATTTCCCCCATTAAGTTTATCGGTACACTTAAAGCAAACAATACAGTTACATTTATCATTAGGATCTTGTACCTTTATACTGCATGTAATGTAGCAGAGATCATAAAGAAAGAATAATAAGAGTAGGAAAAATGAGGGATCTCATTTGACTCTGGTGTACGTACACACTGACAATTTATAGCACAAGTTATAGTCATCAAAGTCTTCCTGATATTATCATGTGCTGTTAGTTTCACGTCAGAACAGTTGCTCAGTGGATTGATACGGATATATTTGAACACTGATGATACACATCTAAGTTAGTCTTTGAGAAAGTAGAATTCAAAATGAGGGAATAATATAGAACAGAAAGTTAAGACCAATTAATAACTGGAAATTAGATTCTAAAAATTACATCAGCCAACTGCATGGAGAACAACCTAGAGAGACTTTGACAGCTCAGATCAGCCCAACAACTACAGCTGCCACTCACCTTTCCTATAAGGTACAGCACCTGAGCTACAGCCCCACCTGAGTCCAGGTATGTTCCATTTGTGTCGGTGTAGGTAGATGTACATCAGCCTTGCTTTAGACTGGAACTTTCACACCACATTTGCTCTGTAGGTGTCCCCAGGTTTCCTGTTGACAAAGAGACCATTTTTCTCTGGAGTCAAGCTTTAGACTAAGGTAAAGGTGCTGTGGAAGACAGCTTGACCCTCTGGTTCCCTTTCCCATTGGACCTGGTCTTAGAGGCTGCTGCCATAAAGGGGGAAAAGTTTTTGAAAGGTTATACTAGAACTTTATGTCTTTTTAACAAAAGAAAATTTCTTTTTCTGTTGTCCCACCGCCCCCTAATAATTTGATTCTTTCTTGATTGAAATAAGTAAAGCACATGTATATTTATGCATAGATAAATTGTTATCAGAAGCCAAAAGTAATAAAAGACCAACCAACCTAGGGCTATATTATCTTAGCATGCTATTTGGCTTCGGAGTTTTATGGTTATAGTGAGCTCCCTCCCACAATGATATCAGTGAGACATGAGAAGTGATTCTTGTACATAATCATACCACTAAATTCAACCAAATGCTTCAAGAAACAGTACCACCAACTAAACAGCAAAACCAAGTTAGAAAATTGGTTAAATAAGTAACTAAATCATTGTCATTTCAGAAATCTAGAATAAAAATGTTTTTCTTTTCAAACAATTTTGACGTATTTAGGAAGCATGGAGTGTGTTGAAGACTTGGTTGTCTTTTATCTTTAATCAGTGACCTAGACCATGCACAGGATATTTGACGAACAAACCTCAAGAGACAGAGGCTGTGGCCTGAACCCCAGCCAAAATCCTGGTTTAACCACTTCTACGGCTTGTGTCTAGATGTTCTCCAAAGCCTCATTCAGTCACAGGTAGCTGGATCTAAAGCGTGTGACACTGGGATTGATTCATGGTACAATGCTAGGGTCGAGGGTGCTGGGATTGAGGGTATGGGTGCTACCTGCCCTAAATAAGATACAAGTGGTAGGAAGAGCTGTGTTCATCCTTTGTTGCTTTACTGCCTTCTACCTGACGTGAACTGTTTCTCCTCTGCTATGCTGGTCTGTGATGCCACACTGCCTTAGAGACAGCCGATTCTGGACTGAAACCTCTACAAACTGTGAGTTAAATAAACCTCTCCCCGTTTAACCTTGAGTGTCAGGTATTGTTACTTAATGAGTACAATCATTGGCAATTTATTTAACTCAGTCTTGGTTTTCTCACTTACAAAATGAAGATCTCAATAACCTATCTTGCACTGTTCCTGTGAAAACAGGAAATAATTAATGTTAAGCCTACAACGTTAAATATGAACGTTAGATTATCCTGCTCATTTTGAGTCATATAATCATGTGTTTTCCCTTAACCTGTGACCAACACAAGTCAAATAAGCTGCAAAATCTAAATAAAAACATTTTTTTTAGTTTCAAGGAAGTCATTCCACATCTTCTGTCCCATCCCTCTCAATTAGAATAGAGGAATCACACAGATAGAGAAAAAAGAGAAAAATCAGATGGCCCCAATGATGTTTAGTCATCTTCCTTTAAGCAGGTTGAGTGAACAAGAATCCATGCTTGCAATAACCCGAGAAGAGGTAGAGCAGGGTTACAGAGAAGATATCTGAACTGATCTAAACACAAACAGTTAAGGAGGGGGACAAGGCATAGTCCAAGAGCACAGGGAAGACAGTTTGAACAAAAATCTATGAATGTGCGTTCAGCTCATATATATAGCACCCTACTCAGAGAGAACTTTTGTAGTGTAAACTCCCAAAAGAATTTTCTTCAGAAAAAAAAGGAACTTTTTTTATGGTACTGGAGATTGAATCCAGGGCCATCTGCACGGAGCTATATCCCTAGCGAACCCCACTCCTTCTTTGAGACAGAGTCTCATTAAGTCCTTAAATTGCCCAGGCCGGGCTTGACTGTCCTCCCTCTTGCTTCAGCCTCGCAGGTATACGCCAGCATGCCAGGCAGATTTTGTCTTCTTATGACATTCACACACACTTATGAGTAGTTAGGGTTCACTGAATAATCTGCAGAGAATAATTTCATATGAAATGAACCCATAGTCCAGTACGTACTTGAAAGGTGTCTCTCACCAACCACACACACACACACATATGCACACACATATACATATACATGAAAAGGGGAGTTTAACTTGATCCACGGCTATCATGTCCTGTCTAATTCCTTCCCTGTGTTCAATACCTCATTATTCAAAATTTCCCCACGATTCCCTAAATCATCTGCAAGATTCTTTAATAAAATACTTTGACATTTTGCATTTCACAAGGAAACTGCTTCTGACCTCCAACAACTAGACTTCTGCGGAAAAGAATCCTCAGGTGAGAAGCAGAAGCAGGAAGTTGGCCAAGTCCTGAGAGAATTTGTGAAAGGCAGTAGATCAGAGAGGTTGCCTGGGAGAAGAGCGCCACACACTGGGCAAAAGGAATATTGTCTCCTTGGATGCTACTAAATGCTGTTTTACAAGTCCTTGGTACGTTCAGCTGTTTGATCTTTCACAAAGTGACAAAAGACACTGCACTGGAGAAAAGAGAGCCTCTTTAGTGAATGTTGCAGGAAAAATTTGGATATCTACATGCAGAAGATTGAATCTAAACCTATATACCTCACTATACAGTAAACTAAAATCAAAATAGATCAAAGATCTAAATGTTAATAGCAAAGTATTTCATATGCTGAAAGACAAATTAGGTAAAACTCTGTCAGACACAGATGTAGGAAAGGACTTTCCTAATTGTTGTTTAAGACAGGGGATGCCTACGTAGCTCAGTCTGGCCTTGAACTCACTATGTCGCTCAGGATGGCTTCAGAATTGTGGTGATCCTCCTGCCTCAGCCTTTTGAGTGCTAGGACTGCAGGTGTATACTGCATGCCTGGCTGAGGAAAGGACTTTCTGAACAGAACCCCAATGGCACAAAAAATATTACCAAGAGCTCTCAAATGGGGTCATGTCAAATTAAAAGGTTTTTGAGCAGCAAAGGAAATAACCAACAGAGAAGGAGACTGCAGAGTGGGGAAATATTTTTGCCAGGTATTTACTAGACAGAGGACTAACATCTAGACTACATAAATACCTCAACAAAATTAAATTCCTCAAAATAAAAGATCTAATCAAAAAATGGGCAACTGCAATGAACGACCGCTTTTTAGAAGTGCAAATGGCCAATAAACACATGAAAAACTATTCAGCATCACTGGTCATTAGAGACGCGCAAATTAAAACTACATTGAGACACCATTTTATCCACAAAGAACAGCCATCATTTAAACAATCAAATAATTACAAATACTGGTGAGAGTGTGGGGGAAAAGGAACTCTTCTACAGTGTTAGTGAGAATGAAAACTAGTACAACCACTATGGAGATCAGTGTGGAAGTTCCTCAAAAGTTAAAAACAGAAATTTCAACCAGGCATGGTGGTTCACACCTGTAATTCTAGGACACAGAAGGCTGAGGCAGGAGGATCACCATGAGTTCAAGGCCAGCCTGGGCTACAGTAATGAGTTCAAGGCTAGCCTGAACTATGTAGTGAGATTATGCCTCAAAAATTAAATAAATAGGGCCAGGGATTTAGCTCAGAGGTGCCATGCCTGCTTCGTAACTGTAAGTCCTGAGGTCCTGAGTTTCAATCCCCAGTACCACAAAATAAATAGGAAAGAAAGAAAGAAAGAAAGAAAGAAAGAAAGAAAGAAAGAAAGAAAGAAAGAAAGAAAGAAAGAAAGAAAGAAAGAAAGAATTTCCCCTTTCTAGGTATTTTCCTAAGTAAAGAAAGAAAGAAAGAAAGAAAGAAAGAAAGAAAGAAAGAAAAAGAAAGAAAGAAAGAAAGAATTTCCCCTTTCTAGGTATTTTCCTAAAAGAGTTAAAGCCATTATATTACAGGGATATATGTATACTGATGTTTATAGCAGCAGAATTTATAATAGCTTGGAAACAGTATGTATGTCTGCCAACAGAGGAATGGATAAAGAAAATGTAGTTTTATGCATAATGGAGTACTACTGTACCATAAAGAAAAATGAATTTGAGGCACTCATAGGCAAATAGATGCACCTTAAGAACGTAATGTTGGGCCGGGGATTTAGCTCAGTGGTGCCACCGCCTGATGTCTCACAAGCACAAGGTCCCAAATTCAATCCCCAGTAGCAAATAATAATAATATTAAGTGAAATAAGAAAATCAGACACACAAGCTTAGATATCACAAGTTCTCTTATATGTGAAATTTATATGAATATATTATTTTAAGATAAAAGATAATTTGTTTTATTTGTACTATTTTCTTTTGTTCATTGAAAAGAAAGTGTTGTCCTTTAAAACAAGTTACTGATAGAACAATTATTTCATTTTTAAACTTTCATTTATTTTATTGATATTATACACAAAGATTTCACATCAGTCATAACCCTCGACTTATGAAATAGGCCTTGATGCTTGCTGAATTTAAGGCTAGGCCTGATTCTGGTTACTGAATTAATTACTTTAAGTAAATGAATTAGGCCCTGGACAATAGCATGCATATTTCCACATGGCCAACCACACACCAATGCCTTGTGCCCCACCCCAATACAACAACCTAAAATTAACAGGCTCGAGAAGGTCTGAACCAGATTTTAGGCACTGAATAACAGGCAATAATACTTCTGGGCTTCTGGTGGTGTTGGTGGTAGTTGCTGTTGTTGTTATATTAGACTAATAATTACTCCTTTAAGTGCCACCATTTGTCAATCTCATGATTTTCATGCAATTAGTTTCATTAAACATGATAACATTTCAGAATTGAAATTGGACAAACAGTAGAGTTTCTCTAAGAATCTCTAAAGGTTCCTGGAATATAGTAAGTGCTGAGTCAATACTTGTTGAAAAAACAAATGTTGGGATGAATTAATAAAGTATACAGATAATAGATTTAAATTTTATGTTACGGTTTTTGTCTGGATGCC